CAGGAAGAAAACATTAAAGTATCAATGCCATATGCAATTATGTATGTCTGATGTTATTTTGATGTGCATTATAGAATGGAAATAATATTTATTCCTGATTTATCAGAAAATATGGTACTATTTCTAACAGGTTTTGTTCTATTTTTGTTCTCTTTTTTTTCTACAGGAAGTTGCCCTTGTCCTTGCAGCTATACTGGTATTTTTGTTGGCTTTCTATGCTTTCTTTTATCTTAACATTTCCAATGAAGTTGACCTTGATCTGGATCCAGATGAAAACTAGCAGATGCAATGAATCTATCGTCAAGATTTCTCCAGCTTGAACAAGACTACATAGGAACACACAGTCCTTTCGCTGTGAGACAGTGAACGATGCCATTTCTTGCAGTCCAAATTCATAAGAAAGTTTTGCAATACGTCAGTCACTTTTACATTCCAGATCTCCAAACTAAGGCAACACTCATGCTCGGCAAGTGTATTTGGTTGACACCAAAGCCAGGAGCAGCAGTACAATACATGAAGTTTATTGTTTACATTATTTTTTTCTCAGGCAGAGAACTTTGATGTTAAAAGACAGGTGCTATTATTATCATGGGTATTGATGCTGACTTCACAAGAGGAGAGTCTGCCTTGACTAAATTTAGGAATCAAAGCTTCCTAATAGCCAAATTAGGTTCCTTTTCCTTTCCCAAAAGAAAGCAGAAATACCAAATAAAAAGTCTTTTCTTGATTTGTATTTAAACTATATCAAAACCCCCTCATCCTTTCTCTCCCTTTTAATCTTCCTTGTGCATGTGTGCGTACGCGCGCACGAAGATGGAAGAAATTGTAGGAAAAAAATATCTTTTTAGAAGCAGTCTGTCACCTCCTATATGGACTTAATTTTATGTCATCCCAGATTCTGTGTGCCCATATATCTGCAGTAATCTTTTTCATTCTTTTGCCAACTGTTCAGCACACATGTGTTCTGTCAGAAATGGCACCTGGATGACAGAAGCTCTAACATTCGCATATGCCTCTGAAACACAGTTCTTTGCCTCCTGTGCTGTCTGAGCTAGTGTAAATAGAAAGTTCAGTCGATGTTGGTTTTAATTAGTGTATTGCTCTATTATTAATATAAAGTCAAAAGCGTATTTTAATTATACTCTTCCTGCTGGTTGTGGTATCAACTTGCTCTACCTGTTAGGGGGATGTTGTGAAAAAATTGCTTTCCAGTTATACAATCATTTTAATCATCAAACTGATGTGAGAAGTTGTAAGTATTAAGAAACCTTTTTTTTCGTGCGTACTAATAATTGGGAAAATCTTGGCCCCATGACATCCTTCAGTTCTTGCAAAGTACCTTTCAGAATATGCACTGCAGATGATAACATTTCTGATCTCTTTGATAACCACAAGCTACTTGAAGAAGCCAGTACGTCAAAGCAGCTGCAGGGAGCTGTAAAATTCTGGCTTTATCCTGTTCTGCTTTGGCTTTGGCTTCTTATAACTGAGCTTGTGGTTGTAAAGGTTCAGGTTTGAGCCTTTTAAAAACATGGTCAGTCTTTCTCTAATGCGAATTCACTTTGATACCAAAAGCATAGAGCCATTGGTGCTGAATGTGGTGAGGGAGTTAGGCAGATTGACTTCCAGAAGACTTCTCATAGTTCTGAAATGCTATTAGCAAACTAGCTTGGCTTTATCTTTGATACCGACTTCAGAGCTGAATGTTAGTTTTAGTTGCAACTGAGATATTTACTGGCTTGTTCCAGAAATGCCTGACTAAGATTTCTTATAGTGATTTTGAAGACAAAGGGATACAAATCATAGCAAATATTATAATGGAAAATATATTTATTTTAAATTGACACAGTCCCATTATCACCACTTAAGGAACTTAGATCAATACAGTTAATTTTTAAACCATACAGTAACTATGACCATATATATTATGGGTCTCTAAGGATCCACTTCTTATCTGTCATACTGCTCATTCACTTTATGCCAGGCAAAACAACTCCTCTAGAAATTCAGAGTACAACAGTCTTCCGAGAAGAAGATGAAAGAGAAGCATAAACATATATGTGCAAATATTTCTCATTTTCCAATTATGACTGTTAGAGACACAAGATCCTAACGTTTATACATTCCTATGACTTACAGTCTGCTAATACTTGCACATATGACCAAATGCTTAGCAACACACTGCATTTATGGTGAAGAATTATCTGACACATGGCCTGACTTTCAGTGGAGAGAAAAGCGTATCACAAGCTGTCTCCTTGGATGTGACATGCCTTTCACTTCACCAGTGCCACACCACACATCACAGATGCTGCAGACCTCTCCTGTTACTTTGCCTGAGCAACGTTCTTGTTCCATAAAGTGCTGGAAGGACTGCTTTCATAATGTCTTCACGTAGCTCTCCGGGTGATGTGTGGCCTGAGAATGATGTGTAGTTTTCCCCTTCATGCAGGTTGTCTCGTAACTCGCTTTCGGAATCAGTTACATGAAAAAAAGCAAGCTATTCTTCCTGTCGAATTTATGAACATGAAGTTCCTAGAATAGGAAGATTTCATTTCCCATAATTATGACTCATAGACAAAATCCAAAGCACGTATATATGTGATCGAAGCAGCTTCCCTGATTTGTGGCTTATCAGTCCATATTGCCCGCAAGTGCCATAGTTTGCAGTTTGTCTGTTGGCTTTGTTTAGGTTAGGCCTCTTCATTCATCATGGAAGATATTCTCATGTAACAAGAAAATTTCCTTTTGCTTAGGTAAACTGGATAGACTTCGGTTCAGGGTACATAGAAATACATGGCAAATACACTTTTTCTCTTATCAGTACAATAATTTCTAATGGGACTGTCAATAGTTCTTTTAAAGCTAGAAGCTCCCACTTTTCATCAAATTATTCATCCTTGATTTTCTAAAATGCACAAGCACAACAATGTTAGCAACGAGGTCTGATTCTGAGCTTACTAATTCATGATTCCCCTGAATTCACTGAAATTACAATGGATTTACTCCAAGGGAAAATCAGAATCTGACCTGACGTTATTTCTGCTTTCTGGAGCACTACATTGTCCATGCCTGATATTTTAAAGTAGAGACTGATTTTAATCTGGCAAACATGTGGCTTGTTTTGCCCTTAATTATATCTGAGATTGAATGACTCTTGGTTTTTGGACCACCTATCTTTGTATGAGTTGCTCAGTGTCTATTTTAATAATAAATGCATTTTTACTATTTTTGTGCTCTTATTAATGTTGGATGTGTCACTCTGGATGATTATACATTTGAAAGGACATTAAAGCAATCTAAATAGCACAGTGTTCAAATGTAAGCAGTGATACTCACCAGCTTTAGAATACCTGGATTATTCTAGCCAATTCTAGCCCCTAAACTCATATTAAAACTAAGTGTAGCCTATGAATACTTAAAAGACAATAAAGAGAACTTCCCTTGGCATCCTACCCAATACCAACAGAGCAGATCTCTTTCTGCAGGCAAAGTTGTTCCGTGTAGCTCCCATCAACTTCAGACAGATTGACTTTATTATAAAAGTAATACTTCTATACACCTGTTTCAAAGAAAGATTGCTGATCAAACCGTTTACACAGCGTCCTGGCTTAACGGGGCAAGCTTTTGCAAGGATATTCACCCCTGGAGAAAGGTGAGATGCCAGTATTGTTGTTGCCCTCTGCTTGTGGAATAATCTGAATTTCTTTCCAGCAGAGGTTGCGGAGGAGCTGCCTGTACCGAGTCCTCATCCTGGGTGGGGGAAGTGGATGTCCCATTTGGAAGAGTCTCTGGCTAGGAAAGCACGGGAGTCTTCCAGCAGTGATTTTGCTCAGTAAAACTTTCCTCAGCAGTTTTCCTTTTCCCTTTGATCCTACAAAAGCAGAACCAGCATGTAGACCATCTCAGGACAGAAGCCTCAATATAGTAGTTTTACTAGTGTGGCTGGTGAACATTGCCAAGGAAAGGCTTTAACTCTATTTCCTAGAGTCCATAAATATATTTCACTGGAAGCTTAGGAGGCATGTTAAGCATTTCCCTAATGGACCCTAGAGATATATTTAAACTTTTCTTGAAGAACGCTTTATTTAAAGTTCACTGTTGCATATCATATAGCCATCATGTGATTCAGGATCTGTCATAGCTCCTTCCATGCATCAGACCAGCTGTAGCAGGGACAATACGTAGACTCTGAGATTATGCTGCAACACGTAACTGCGAACATACGCAGCATGAGCAAACTCATCTGTTTAGGTGTCATCTAGAGTGGTTGACCTCACAAGTCATGTTTGAAAACAAACGGGTTTTAAACAACCCAACTAAATGAAGGCACAGTGAAAGCCCTACAGAACCACTCACCCCATTTCCATGAAAATTGCTGCCATGGAAGACGCTTATCTGCTGACTTAGGGCCGAGTTTTGAATGCTGCCCTTTCAGGGAGGAAAATGTTGCTAGCAGCTCCCGGTAGAGCGATGATTCATTTTGCTCTGATACAGGATTGTGCCTATAAGGCACAACTGAGCCAGTTGGTAAAGGTCAAATGCATTCAGGACAATTCTCAGTAAAGGACTGTACTTGAAATGCAGACTAGGCGAGTTAGAGTGCCAACAAACAGGATACTACAGATCTTGATCGCATTTCAAGTTTTACTTACAGTAGCATAATAATTAGTGGTGCTTATGACTAAGAAAATAACAATATGGCACATCAATAAGACAGCAGAAATGTGATGTTGGAACTGCTTCTTAAAAGATTTTGTAGTGGATTATGCCTGCACTTTGGGAAATGAATCCATGAGATGAATAAACTGGCAAAGATTGTGATCTTATGCTTACAGTATTTTTCCCTGAAAGAGCTGATGGAGATATTTTGCAACACTTTTCCCCATTATCCTCTTAGTTTGCTGTAATACATTCTTTTGCAGATGTATTTCTACACTTTTCCAAAAGTAGGAAAATATTTTTTGTAGTTCATCAATGCATTTAATTGACAGAATCCTCTACTCTTCCTCTTATCCCCCCTTAATCACAACCAAATTGGTGGGGAGACAGCCAAAATGTTAGGTACCAGTGTCTCTCAAGCAGATGTCACACCACTATTTTTTAGCTCGTTTAAATGAATAAACATGTTAAACTGTGAAGTATTACATTTTAGATTTTTTCATTAAAAAAAAATGGGACAATCTGTTTACTGTCCTTAATTGAGACAACAATCCTGGTGGTTGCCAGTTTTGGCAGTTGTAATGATGAACTATAAATATTGGGACAAATCGACTAACTGGTGATTATGGAGGAGAGCTCAAGTAGAAGGCTCATTCTGCATGAATACTTTTTTCAGTGCGGTATTTTTTCTAAATTCTATAATTGTTATACTGGTTTTGCATGTTAAAACCACAAATAAACACATGACTAGTCAAACAAGAGGCTCGATTCTGTTGTCTTATTCTGAATCCTTAAAAAAACGCAGATAAAAGCTGACAGCCCTGCAGCACAGTTCATGCCTTGCCCAAATTCTTTCTAAAAGGTGTTTGTTCAGGCCAGTTATAAATGTGAGCTATGAAGAGCTTCATTTTGCTGAACCATGAAAAAACTGAGCAGCACATAGATCTTTGGGAGTTTGCCATCTCACAAAGGGTTCATAGGAATTTTAGAGAGCGAAGCCACAGGAGGTGAGTCTGGAGTTTGGTGACAAACTGATGCCATTCTCCTATCGCAGTTTCTCCAGGAACAGGAGTGGAAGAAAACTGAAGTAAAATGGCCAATTCTTCCATGAGAGAATCACCTCACAACTCACTATGTTGCTCAAGAAGACGAGGGTGGAAGAAAAGCTAATTCGGACATCAAATCAGAGCTACCTCAACTTCTTATTTTTCACAGGGCAAAAAAAGGGCCAGGAGGAGGTAAAGATGTCTGAAATGAAGCAGCTTCTCGTTGGATCAATGGTTCATTTATTTAAGTAAGGAATAAACAGGATTTGGGGGATT